ACCTGCTGAAGTCTCCTTGAGCTTGAAAAATATACTTTTTATTTTATCACATGAATCTTTTTGTGAACAGAAGACAGGTTTAATTTAAATCTGTTCACTTTCTCATGACATGACATGCACCCATTCATTTGAAGGTGATGAAGCAGCTAGGGGAAAAGAAAATACAAAATCATCACGAAAATGTCTAACTACAGAGTTTTGTATCTCATTTTTTTTGTACTTTTCAACTAAAAAGAAAAAAAAGAAAAACACAGGAGGCAAAATAGATTTCAGACAATGAGGTTATTAAGTATGTTGTATACTTCATCAAGAGCCTATCTATCTAGTTGTTTAGGGCAGGCAGGGCTATTCTGGAAGAATGATACTAGTGAAAATGAACCAGTCAAACAAAATCAATTAAATTTTCTAAAGCTTTTAGATAAGTGCCAGGAGGCCTGTGTTTTTAGCCTACTTTGCTACTAATTATCAACATGATCTTAGTGCTTAACACAGTGGCTGGCACATAGTAGGTGCTTAGTAAAGGTTTATTGACTGACTGACTTTGCGCTCTCTGGGCCTCATTTTTCTCATTTGTAAAATACAAATAATACTACCCACAGTCCCCACTTTATAAAGTCATTTAGAATTTTAAATGAGATAATGTAGATAAGGCACTTGGTAAGCTTTTAAAGTGTTATATAAATGGAGCTATCATTATTAACTCTGTTCCTTTTGAACTCTAAGGCCCTTGTATTCTGCACAACCCTATGAATGCTAATTTTGCACGTAACTGCAGTCTTTGCCAATGAAGCATGAAAGTAACTGCTAAAGGCTTTTGGGGATAGAACTACTCTAATCATATGTTCTGTATTGGCTCCAAATGGTGCTAACAGTCCTCTGAGGGCAGAGTCCACGGAAGGCAGGTAAGGCAGGTTCTGCGGGTACAATGAACAGATGAGGGAGAGGGATTCCACAAAGCACACTATATTGAACATAAAGGGATGTATTTTGCACCATAGAAAATTTTGCTCTCCATGACACATGAATGTTTGTTTATCTTGTGATTAAATTCACGCAACTGATTTAGAGGGAAGGTTCCAAGGTGGTACATGCTGGAGCCAGCTCATACTGGCTAGAGTTGAATGTTAAATTTTCACTGTGAACATTTATACCTTGGAAATCAGCAAATATTGTAAATTGTGGCTTGATTTATTATTTTGTTGATTGTTTAATGTATCCAATGATACAGATTAAACTGAAAAGTCTGCTGTGCATATATTTAAAAAACCAAAAGCCGGTTGTTAAACATTTGCCAGCACACCTTTGCGTGCACACAAATGCCTCCCTACCCTCTATTGCTAGCCTTCTTTGAGAGCACACCTCATGAATATGCGCTAAGTACATCAACTATTCAAGCAGTGGTGTCCAATTCAAACAGATACAGTTCGAATGTTGACTCAGAAAACCTCAAGTTAATATTATCTATGTTGTGTTGTATTTTTATTTTCTTAAACATTTTCCAATTACATTTTAATTTGATTCCTTTCACTCTGGAGTTTTGCAGGCTGCATGCTGCCTTGGGGCCTCAGTTTGACATTTCTGCCTTAAAACGTAGAAGGAGCTCAATAAATATTTGTTGAATGAACAAACGTAAGATATTGACCATGTCACTTCCCTACTCAAGAAGCTTCTGTGGCTCCCTATGGCCTCTAGGATAAAACACAAGCCTTTCTCTTTAGCAGTTAAAACCCTTGACAGTCTGGCCCCAGTCCATCCTATCAGGCTGATTCCTCATTCTTTCTCCTTGTACATGCTTTTGCAGTGTCCCAAAAGTCTTAGTGCAGCTGCCAGTCAATGTGACTGCACTAAAACTTTTGGGACACCCTGTATGTTCCAGGACAAATTGCCTGTGTGCTGTTTCTTGGATGGGACATATGTTTTTGTGCCTTTGCACAGGTTGTCACCTCCATAGCTTAGAGGCCTAGTTCCCTTCCAGGCTCAGTCAGGTGTCACCTCCTTTAAGTGGCCTTTCTTGATTCCCTCAGTTGTGATTCTTTTTCTATTACTTTTTCTTTGTTTTGTATATATCCTATATTTACTTATTTGTGAACATATCATCTTCTCTTTCTTTTTCTTTTTTTTTTGGATCGGGCAATGGGGGTTAAGTGACTTGCCCAGGGTCACACAACTAGTAAGTGCTATGTGTCTGAGGCCGGATTTGAACTCAGGTCCTTCTGAATCCAGGGCCAGTGCTCTATCCACTGCGCCATCTAGCTGCCCCCAACATATCATCTTCTCCATAGAATGTGAGCTCCTTGAGGGCAGGGATTGTCCCAATGTTTTCTTTGTATTCCCAGATCCTAGGGCAGAGACTGGCACACAGTAGGTGTTTAATAAATGCCTGTTGATTAATTGTAGTGTTTTAAGATTTACAAAGTGTTTTTCTCAGAGCCCCATAAAGTAGGGCAAATATTATTATCCAGATTTTAAAGATGAGGAAAGTAAGCCAAGTCTCAGAAAGGATAAGGGATTTGCTTGTGGTCACACATCAGATTGGGATTCGAACCCAAGTCTTCTGAATCCAAGTTGAGCATTTTTTCTACCATATTGTCTTTTAATCAATGAATCAATTAATTAACCAATAAGTATTTATCAAGGGCCCACCGTGTCCTAGGTGCTAGGGATACAAAGAATGGAAACAATTCTTATCTACAAGGGATCTACATTGGGGAAGACAGCAAGTATGTACAAAAATATATACAGTATAGAGTGAAAAAAACACAAGTATATACAAAGTAGTTATAAACAAGGTATTTTGGGAAAGAGAATGGGATTAGGAAAGACTTTATGCAGAAGATGGTGTTTAGGCTTTGTCTTAAAGCAAGAAAGGGGACTCTATAAGGCAGAGATAAGGAGGGAGTGGATTCCAGGCACATGGGATGGCCAATGGAGACAGGAGGTGGAGGGTCAAGTGTGTGGAACAGAGAAAGGGCTAGTTTGGTTAAATCACAGAGAGTTGGAGGGGAATAATGTCCATTGAGGCTGGAAAGATAGACAGGAGCCAGGTTATATAGGCACTTACTTAATACACGCCTTTTCATTCATTCACATTTTTTTTTAAGGTAAGCATTGAATATTCTGTTCATTAGTCCCACAAATGAGAAATTCTGTGACTTAGTGAAAGTTAATGATCCACACATTCCAAGGGCATTAGATGTTATGATATTGGCAATTTATCTGTTAAGTGGCTATGCTTTAGACCAGGGGTGGGGAACCTGTGGCCTCGAGGTTGCAGGTTCCTCACTCCTGCTTTAGACCATCATCACTATGGTCAAGAAGAGAATAACATATCTTCTGTCAAACAGCTGAGTCTTCATTTTAAATGACCTAAAACTTATATTAAATTTATTTTTATATATAATATAATATGTAATTGTATATTAAATAGAAATATAAAAATATAATATATTAAAATATAATAATAATACAATATACTAATATAATATTATAAATTATATTTAAATGACCTAAAACTTGCATTTCCTACAAGTAGAATTGAAGTTGAATCTATTATCTTGTGGAGAATGAAAAGATCCAACACTGACTGTAAAATAACCATCTTTTATATCTAGAGGTAGAAGGAACATCAGAAATCATCTAGGCAGCATAGAATACCAGCCCTGGAGTCAGGAGGAGCTGAGTTTAAATCCAGCCTCACACACTTGACACTTACTGGCTGGGTCACCCTGGGTAAGTCACTTAACCCCGATTGCCTTGCAAAAAAAAAAAGTCAACTAGCTGAACCTCTTCATTTTGCATGGGTAAATGAGAGCCTAGAGACTTCTCCAAGGTTACACAGGTAGGAAGGGACAGAACCGGGATTTGAACCCAGGCCCTCTTCAGAATCTGCACTCTTTCCACTCTACTATGCCATCTGTCTCCAGTAGAAATCTGCAAATGTGAAATGGTTTGTCCAAGATCATAAAGGAAGAAAATGGCAAAACCAAGATTTGAGCCAAGGTGCTCTTGCATATACATATAAGGCCTTACTACTAGTAGTAGTAATTTTGCTGTTGTTCAGTCATTTCAGGTGTGTCTGACTCCATGACTCCCTTTGGGTTTGTTTTTTTTTTTTGCAAAGATACTGGAGTGGTTTACCATTTCCTTCTCCAGCTCATTTTTACAGATGAAGAAATGGAGGCAAACAGGGTTAAGTGACTTGCCCAGGCTCATACAACTAATGAGTGTCTGATGCTGCATTTGAACTCAGGAAGATGAGTTTTCCTGATTCCAAGCCCAGTGCTCTATCCACTGCACCACCTAGTTGCCTCAATAGTACTAATTGCTAACATTTATATAGGGCTTACTATGTGCCAGATACTCTGCTAAGTGCTTACAGCTATTATCTCATTTGATCCTCACAATAACCCTGGGAGATAGGTGCTATTATTATCCACATTTTACAGATGAAGAAACTGAGGCAAACAGCAGTTAACTGACTCACACAGTTAGAACCTGAGGCCAGATTTGAACTCAGGACTTTCTGACTCCAGGCTGGCCCAGTGCTCTGTCTTCTGTACTATTTATTTGGTCCTGATCTATTTTTTTTCCAGCCTCAATGGCCCAATATAATGCCAGGGTAAGCACACTTTAAAAATATATAATGTTGCCCCCTCATGTACAAAAATTATGATGATATTTGCTTAAAGGTTTGGAAAAAGATTACCAGATTGGTTTCTTATTTCTCACAAGTTATAAAACCCCTTCCAGTTATAAATTTTCCTAGAGATAGGAAATTATTTTTTAAATTTTTTTGTTTTGTTTTTAGGCAATTGGGGTTAAGTGACTTGCCCAGGGTCACATAGCTAGTAAGTGTCAAGTATTTGGTTTGAGGCCAGATTTGAACTCAGGTCCTCCTGACTTCAGGGCTGGTGCTCCATCCACTGTGCCACCTAGCTACCCTGAGATAGGAAGTTATTAACAGATAAAAGGCAATGGACTCAAAGAGGTTTGGAACTGACCGTTACACCGAAGAAGTTGGTTTCATTCATTGCATCCAGGAAGATTTTGCCAAGTTTATGGTCTGTATAGTTGAAATCTTGAATCCTTTGGTGCCTGTTGCTGGAGCGGAGATGTTCCATGGCCCTCTGCAGGGTTTTTGCAATTACCCATATTCCATCGTAGGCATAGCCATGGAATTTACTGGGTCCCACATCTGATCTTTTATCATTGTATTCTTTTTCATACTGTTGGGGAGTCTGAAAAAGAAAAGTAAGAAAGAATAGGTAAGAAAAAATAAGAAAGGCAAGAAAGTGAAAGAAACCAGATGGCATATTTATTTTTTCAGCCAAAGACAAGGTTTATTCAAGATCCGCCATATTGGCCAGATTCTTAAGGAATCTAAGCATTTGTATTGCTAATGCAAGCAGGCCAGATCTTGAGAATCTGAGCCCTTGGCTAGATCAGATGGCATATTTAAGAAAGAAAGAATGAATGAATGAAAGAAAAACGAAGTATTAAGTGACATGTACTAGGCATTGTATAAGTGAGGGTAGGGGTAGGGGTAGGGGTGGATGGGGATGGGGGTGGGGTGGGGGAAGAGGGGAAATATAAACACAATTAAGCAAAATTGTCCCTTCCCTCAAGGAGCTTACATTCTGATAATGAATGTTTAGTGCTAGCACCTCATATCCTCAAACCTTCTTCTTATAATGGAACATCTCCATGAAAGCCCTCCTCTGAAATCTCATCCTGATGTAGAGGAGGCCCCAGACCTTCAAAGATATTTGCCAGGAGAGTGTAAGTGCTAGTCCATCTTATCAAGATGGAAAGACTTCCTATATGGATATATCACTAACTTGTTTTTATAAGAAATGAAATGAGCTAATTCTTAAGTCGTGTTATATACATGCTAGCTAATGTGGAGTGAAGTGGATTGCCTGTGTACACACAGCTTATTAAGTCTCAGGGTTGAGAATTGAACCCAGTTTGTTCTGACTTGAGGTCCAGAACCCTAACCGCTACACTATACTGCATCCTAGCTAGACTGGTTATCGGCAGACCAGCCTAGCCAAGTTCAGAAAGGTCTATTATCAGAGTTTGGCCACCGCATGACGATAACGCTACTCATGAACCTTTATCACGCAAGGGTTGTGATTTGTGTTGTTCAAGGCAGTACGCACACTCATGAAAACACAACTGTTTTGAAGTATTACTTTTTAATATAGCAATCTCCCTAGGCAGAGTATGTGTTTTAAAATCTCTTGTGTGGGGTGAATTGCCTAAATAACTCCATTTGTGATATCACCATTCAAGGTGTAATTGAGATGTAGAGACTGATTGTTTGGAGAACATATCAGAACTATTGCAGTCAAATGAATGCTGTATCTTCAGAGCTTTTGACCTTGAGAGACTATATATTCACTCCTACTGTGCTCAAAATTTTGTTTGAAACATTTGGGAAGCTCTTTTTTTAGAAGTACCTTCAAAACCTGCAAGTCAGGGGCCTCCGTCATAGACACATAAGAGAAGGGAGAGGGGAGGGCTGAAAAATTGTCAAAGGCCCAACTGCTGCTGACCTTTGTGACACAGAAGTATCATTGCTAAGCCTTTTGGTACATCCTGGGTCTAAGACCTCAAACATTTTATGTCACAGTCCAATGCACAAGACTTCCCCCGGGGAAAGGAGCAACATAGTGGAACACAGACAGAAATACATAAGGAAAGCCACCCATCAGCTACAACAAAGGGGTCTCACCTGGATGCCTTTCCAGAATATACAGTTCTAGTCTAAACATAATCCCAGGGGCTCAGGATCTCTCTGGTTTTGTATGCTGCCTCCAAGCAGCCTCAGAGAGTAGGGGAGAGGCCCAGGTGTCCTCACTTAGGCCCTTGGCAAAAGCTGCTACCTTTCTGCCCTACAGATCAACTGCTTTCTGAGTGTGGCAATATTTTAGAAAGGGAGGGAGGAGGAAAGAAGAAAGGAAGAAAACAAGCATTTAGTGAGAACCTATGATGTGCCAAGCACTGTGCTAAGAGCTTTACAAATATTAATTTATTTGATCTTCATAACAACCCTGTGAGGTAGGTGCTATTACTCCCATTTGATAGTTGAAGAAACTGAGGCAAGCAGAGGTTAAGTGATTGACCTGGAGTTCCACAGCCAGTAAATATCTGAGTCTGGATTTGAACTGAAGTCTTCCTAACTGCAGGTCCCACACACTATCTACTAGACTAGAGCATTGTACCAAATTCTTTTGAATTTCCATAATGGCAGCAAATTATAGACAGAAATCACAGTATCACAGAATTTTTGGAATGAGAGAATCCCCTCATTTTATAGAAATTGAGGCCCAGAGCCTATAAGTAACCACAAAGTCATTAAGTTTCTTCATGACAGAGTTAGGACTAGAATCCAGGCCTTACTCCTAGAATGTCGCTCTGACCACCATATTCTAATTTTTTGTTTTGTTTTGTTTACCCTCGAGGCTGATTCCATTTTTGCAAATAGTAAAAAAATGATTTGAAACTGAATATGATAAATAAGGTAGGTGTTCACCCTGTGCAATAATAGCATTATGAGCATAAAGCTGTTTTGAGAGAAATCCCCTGGAGTCCATGGGTGTTGTCATGGGGAAGATCCCAGTCACTGGGCCATATTCCACTCTTTGTGTAACCCGTGGAATCTCTAAAATGTTTCAGAATGTCTACATAATATACCCTATTGACAGCATTGAGGCCAAGGGATGAATTTTGCACGGACAATGCCACAGATGTCAGGAAAACAAATCAACATTATTTTCCCCTGTGATCTTGACACAAATGCTTTCTTGGATGTCAGGAATATTGGAGTTTCCTATTGTCAACTTTGGTTTGTTGCCTTTAGTACATGCTGCAAAACATCATGCCACATCAACCACCATTTACTATTTACCTCAAAGACACGCTATTTAGTCCAGCTTCCTCAGAAAATTCAGAACAAGTGTCATTTCTTCATATGTGTGACACTGTCTACACAAAAACTTTCTTCACATTCAAGTTTCTTTTGCAGAGTGAGATGTTTCTTTATCTACAACAACTCCACGGCCATAATTCTCTCAATTAATTGTTTAGTGGAATGAAGAAAAACTCTGCCTTTTCTAGCATTCTCAAGGAGCCCACGTGTGACCATTCACTCCCTTCAGTCAATCCATCAATCAACTGGCATTTATTTATTTATTTTTTAAATTTTATTAGCCAGTAACTGTGCTAAGTGCCAGGAATATAAAGAAAAGGGAAAAAAAAACCCTTAGTACCTGCTTTCAAGGAACTCACTATCTGATGGGAGAGACAACACGAAAACACCTATGTATAGATAAGGTGTATACAGGATAAATTGGGGGGTAGTCTCAGAGGGAAGGCACTAAGCTTAAGGAGAACTGGGAACGGGATCCTGTGGAAGGTAAGACTTCAAAGGGGGAATTTTCATGGGATTTCATAGATTTTTGAGTTGGAAGAGACTTTAGAGGCTGCGGAATTCAAGGCTTTCATTTTATAGATGAGGAAAAATGCCAGAGTTTAATAGACTCACACAGGTACTAAGTTGCAGAACCAGGATTTGAACCCAGGATGCCTGATTCCATATCCAGGGCTCTTTCCATTTTCCAATGTGTCAGTGAAAAACTTATGTTTTTGACTTGATGTACTGGAAGAATTTATTATTTTCCTATTATATCGATAACTAATTATTAAATTGGGATCCAGGCTTTTCTCCTTAATTTCCTCATTAAGGCCCAGCTCTTGTTAAAGTCGGGTCTCTGAAGGACATGACTGATAGAGGACATTATTCCTAGTTCTCAAGAAACAAACTCCTAAATCCAGGGCGGCAATCTACCCAACTAAGAGATTTAACGTGTGTTTAAAATATAAACAGAATCCAGTCTGGGTGAGCTGTAACCCTGGGGAAAGAAGCCCCTCCATTAGAGTTTAGGGTGACCCAGCTCATGAAGGAGAAAACCAACCAGAGAGGTCTTGGTTGGTGGGGATAGATTCCCTGTCCAGATTGCTGGAGGCTGCTGAGTCTCAAGATCAAGCCAAGTTCTCAGCAGGAGGAGCTGAAGACTTCTAGCCCACCCCTCATTACATGTCCACCAGTCAGGGTTAACTTTCACTTGTTAGTTCCCTGTTAGAAGCTACACACCCCATTTAAGGTGTTTCAGAGGCTCCCTTGGGTTCCTTGGTTACCGAGAGAAACCACTGACCATCAATTTATTGATTGCTGGCTTGCCTAATTAATAAAATGATCATTAATAACCCAGAAACTCTGTCTCTCGGGGTTTTTCATCTGTTTCACCACATGAGCTTCTTTCAGCAGGTTAACCGTCTTGGTTTTAGATTTGTTTAGGTCTCCAAACACAGTCTGAGGTTGTCGTTGCTTAGATCATGGCCACTTACATGTCTTTTGTTATAAAACAGCAAACATTTCTTTTCCCCATGGCTGCTGGTAGGCTGTCCGGTTGATTCTGCAGGGGCCGTAGCTGCTGGGTGAATGCATGCAAATGACCCTGTGTGGAGCTCTTCCTTCTCCTCCGTAGCAAAATCAGTCTTGTTATACTAGGCCACAATGAGGAGAGCTGAGACGGTCATAGGACAATAGATTTAGGGCTGGATGGGACCTTATAGATAATTTAGTCCAACCTCACTTTACAGAGAAGGAAACTGAGGCCCAGACAGAAGTGACTTGCCCAAGATCATGTGTGTAAGGCCAGAATTTTAACCTTTAACTCTCAATCTAACACTTTTCGGTGGTGTAGGGGACTTAGAGTCAAGGAAAACACCAGTTTAAATCCTGTCTCAGAGTCTTACCAGTTGTTCAGTTGTGTCTGACTCTCAGTGACCCCATTTGGGGTTTTCTTGGCAGAGATACTGGAGTGGTTTGCCATTTCCTTCTCTAGCTCGTTTTACAGATGAGGAAACTGAGGCAAACAGGGTGAAGTGACTTGCCCAGGGTCACATAGTCAGTAAGTGTCTAAGGCTGGATTTGAACTCAGGAAGATGAGTCTACCTGACTCCAGGTCCATCCATTGCACCACCTAGAAGTGTGACCCTGGATAAATCAGGGGAGTGGGGGAGTTGAGGAAGAGCCTCCTACAGAAGGTGAGATTTGAGTTTGATCTTGAAGGAAGCCAAGGGGTAAAAGGTGAGGAGGGATTCTAGTTATGGGAGACAGTACAGTCAGTAGATGGCTGGGTATGGTAGAACTAGGTTTAAATCCTGCTAG